CAGACACCCACACACCCACGCGCACAAACACAGCGGCTGCAAATTCTGGCTGAAAATAAAACATTTTTATGACAGCTTCAAAGTTCTGGCTTTTTTTTATCTCTGCCCACTGACTTTACCACTACTCTACTTCTTCCTCAGTTTAACTGTTGTCATGATCGTTACCAAACGAAGCCTGCCTTCCAAAAATCATTCCCCTCCGCAGCGAAAATAATGTGAACTAATTTTAGTGTGCAGATTTTAAGTTGCGCCCTCACCCACCACCTTGAATTAAAAGCTCCCCCCCCACTCAAAACACTCGGCGACGGGCCTAACTATAGTCATTCCCTACACAAATGAATAAAATATTTTGAGCGTTAAGGAAAGAAATTCCCACTTAAACTTAGAATTTTGCAATGTCTTAGGAAATTATAGCATTCAATATCTATTTAATCTTAGGAAGAAAGGTATTGTCAGTGGTCAGGAATTTAAACATTACTATTGATAAAATAGGGTTATTATATTATTAGTAGTAATGCCTTGTGCCAGAGAATTGCATTACAAATAATTTCATAGAAAATAAATATTTTAAAAATTAGTAGAAAATTATAAATTATAAAAATATTAATTAAAGCAAGTATTTTCAAAATTAGTTGGTGAGCCCCAAAAACTGGACGCAGAGGCAAAAATGCATATTTTTAAGAAATGAAATTTTCATCAGCATTTTATTGAATTGGAATGTTAACAAATAACATCATCAATATGATTTCCAAAGGTTGACATCAAGACTCATGTGAACACTATGCAATAACTCCACATTGCCGTCAATTTTAACACAATCACTCTTCATGCGTTCAATCAAGGGTGTTGCATCTGTGACTTCCATTATATACTTTCTTCTTTAGTATACCCTAGAAAAAGAAGTTAATGCTTTCTTCTTTCGACAAAACCATGTTTAATCTATGGAGGTGACTTTAAGGACACCCTGTATATGTATATATATATATATATATATATATATATAGGGAGAGAGAGAGAGAGAATTAAAGTGAGAAAGATAAAGTTACCAGGAAGGAAGTTTAATTTTTTGTTAATATTTTCTAATAATTTTGCCTGTATTGCTTTTTCAATAAACGACTTATTATTGACGTATTTTAGATAATCGCTAATAAGGATCTTCATCGGAAAATCTGTGTCACGATTGAATAGGTAAGGATAGGTTATGGCCCGTTATGGGAAGCAGTTAAAAATTTGATTAATCCATGATTCAAGCATCGTTTCACTTCTATATAAAACGTTTAATACAACAAAAAAGTACAGTTACTTACGTATACTCTCTCTCTCTCTCTCTCTCTCTCTCTCTCTCTCTCTCTCTATATATATATATATATATATATATATATATATATATATATATAATACGGATAGTGGATGCATATGAATGATGTAATTCTAAAAACAAAATGCCTGTAATTTCAAATCTTTTGAGGCTTCTGGTCACATCTCGTTGAAAGACTGGTTCCCTTATGTTCAACGAAGTTAAGCAATGCTACTCCCCCCCCCCATCACCTAGAGAAGGTTTAACCGTTTGGGCATACAAGGTGCTGTAAACTTGGGTGTATGGGTGGTGTAATGGATAACTGCTCGGAATGGTTGATCGGAGAGCCGAATCCCAATTCCAGTTGGGTTAGTTATACTCACTTTTATGGACAGATACCCTAAGGAAACGTGCGAATCAACCTCTTCAACCGGCTATGGGTTAATTAGTAAGAATTGTATCACTGAAACAATTATTATCTCCGAAAAAGAATAAACTAAAAATAAAATTTGCATTCAAAATATTTAGATTTCAGTATGAAATAACCTATACAGGTGCTAATATGTCGCTAAACAAAAACAACCAACCAACAATCGAATCGTTAACAGCGATCGAACCAAAACTAAAAAACAGGATTTCGATTATTGATATTGTGGCAACTCAAATAGAAAACTGACACAATCTTTTTTCTTTGTATTCCACCATGTGGTCTTTTGTCAGGTTATATTATGCTTGGAATTATATATATATATGTGTGTGTGTGTGTGTGTGTGAAAGGTGGAATGTGTGAAAGCAAGTTTGTTTTTAAAATGTTATTGTACTGTCAATGTTTCGGTCAGTAAGAACACCATCAGAAAGAAACGTTGAGAAAAGAATATAATTTTAAACATGCAACAAATGTTCACATATTCCATCTTACATACCTTGTTTCATATTAGTCATTTTATGATACACAATCGCGTGCACGCCTGCGTATGAATATTTACTATAAATAGTTTTATATACCTATTGGTATATAAAAAAGGAAGTTTTTAGTTTCGAAGGAAGTTTTTTAATAGTGTAAAAATGAACGAATTACAATGTTCAAAGCCTAAATAAGGTAGCGCAATCAAAGAATCTGCGATCGGATTAAAAAGTAAAAGCACACCAACACTTGGCAAGTAAACCTTCGTTTTCCATACTATTTACTCCAATGGCACCGTGCGCCATCTTATTGATCTTAATACTCGAAGCATAAAAAGTCAATAGGCTGAAGTTTACTTGGCATGTGTTGGTGTATTCGAGCTTATTTTTTCTCTCTTTATATATATATATATATATATATATATATATATATATATATATATATATATA